TTTTGGTTATTGCTGTGATGTTGCTATGCCTAGTCGATGGAATATTTGGACCAATGTTGAATTTTGTTGGTGTTAGTTCTGATTTTGATTTGTTTTCTGGGGTATATATTAGATTGTTTTGTATTAAATTTTCGATTGTTCGAGTTAATAGTTGAATGTTTCGCTGGTGTTTAACCTGATGTAGTTAGTTTTGATTTTGATTTGTGGTTGGGGTCTATGCTATGTTTATGTTGTTGTTGTTATGTATTGAATTTTGGATTGTTGTCACTTTAGTACCTTTTGTAAAGTTCAGGTTTTGTGGTTATGTCTCTTATAATTTGTACAAAAATTCCCAGGAGGGTGTGTTCAATCTCTGATAATGAATAATCATTGGAGACTGAATTTGGAAACCTGGAAAACCAATGTAGGGCTAGGTCTATTCCATTGACAATTCTTAAAAGGCTTTGAGAGAGAGAGACAAAAGTACTAGATTGATCATTAGCGAGTCTAATTTGAGGCTTTGATTCATTTAGGCTTAGGTTTTGGAAACTAACTACTACAATTGATTTTTTCTATTTTTGTTTTTAAAACTTACATGATGCTATTGAGGAGGAAACAAGGTGAGGGGAGGCACAGACTTAATTCTCAAGCCTTTGACTTGCACAATTTGCATCTCTTAGCTACTTGATTTATTTTTTATTTTATTTTTTGTGCTGATGATCTGGCTACTTGATTTGTTGAATCAATTAAGTTGCACGTTCTAGATTGTGATGGAAAATCCCCTTTACCCTCTTTCATTTTGATGAAGTGCAACTGGGTAAGGGAGGTTGAAATCTTAGAAGATATTATCCATTTTTTCTTTTAAACGTGTGCCGAACTTTTTCTGTTGTTGTCTTGCTAGCAGGAGGAATTTGAAAAAAGTGTAAATGAGCATGCAAGGTTTATGGAAGAGCATGAGAGGTTTATGGAAGAGCATGCGAGGTTTAAGGAAGAGCATGCGAGGAATATGGAACAGCATGCAAGGAATATGGAACAGCTGGCAAGGGATAAGGAATATATAAATCAAGTTTGGGTAATATATTTCTTTCTTTATATATCCACATACGAAAGTGATGGTGTTAGCATAATAGCCTCTAAACATTTAATTGGATTTGGTATATTGCTAGGCTTGACAAAAATACTGTGGAAGAAACATCTTTTACCCTATTAAGATTTAGCATGCTTCTTTTGAGTGGTTCAAATTCAATTGTAAGATGCATGGAATAAATGTTCTATGACTCATTTGTAGTTTGTGGTTTTCTTGGAAAATTTCAGGATTTTTTTTTTTAAAAAAATGTGTAGTTATTGGTCTTTAACTTTTTATAGCTGCTGTCATGTCTTCTTTCAGATGTATTTGGCTAAGGGAGGTGAGATTGAAGATTCTGAAAGATATTGCCAACGAAAAAGGTAAACGATTGTAAGTTAAATGATCGTGAGTTGGTTTAGATATTTAAATGATCTTGAGTTATTTTGTTTTTTGATTGACATGTTTGGATGAATTGCAGGAACAAACTAAATATTTGTTGTTGCTCTTACTTCTCAAGAAGGAACTTATTGAAGGGAAGAGTGAGAAGGAAATGTCTAGCGCAACACTGGAGTTGTTTTATGCCCTAAAAGCTAAAAAGTATTCATGTAATGGAATAGGGAAATGAGTTGGGTCTTTAAATTGGGGTTGCATACGTGCATTTTATATCTTTCTATCTAGTAAAAGTTGGATGCTGAAGTTGATTTGGTAAACTGTATGGCATGATTTCTTTGTTCTTAAATTCAACTTTTTAACTGGCTTAATTTGAATATGTTGATATGTTTTGGGGGGTCAGAACCCTTGATGGAGTTTTATTGTTTGTTTTTTTTTGCTACGCTTATTTTTTTTTTCTTCTCCTACTTTAAATTCAAATTGTGGTTGCTTTAAGCTGCCAGATTGTTCATATTTATGGATTGTATCAACCCAATGGTTTTCTGTTTTTATTTTTTCAGTGTAAATTAATGTATGTTTGGTGGCTGGACTAGATTAGCAGGATTGATTAGAAAATCCAATTCCCATCACGGGGATTAACCCCATTACATGTCTAAATTGCATTGAATATAAAGAGTGGGGCTGGACTGTATTCAATGATTAAATTCTAGGAGAGCCTCATTAATCTGTAAAAATATAAGAAGAGGCCAAGTCTCTGTTCAGCATCCTGACACATACTCTACCAAAAATGCCCTCTACACTTCTGTAATATTCCATCTGTTGCGCCATATACTGATGTGTCTTCTTGTTGTGATATTTCCTTCTTCCCCCAGAAGCTTGTCTATGCAACTGATGTTGCATGCAACAAGGAGCACCATTTAATGATCATAGAGAATTCTTTGCGATTGTGTTGCTTTTGTGGCATTCAATTGGAAAACAGAAGCATTTTGGTGTTGTATATCAGTGGCAACCATCACTGTGAACTGGTTTGATTGATGGCTTTGATCATGTGCATGGTTGCCTGCTTCGCTAAATTCTACGTATAGCTTCTTTTATCTGATTGCCTTTTTGAATAATCCAAGTGTCAATTCTGTCATCTGCTGTTTTCCATGTATTGTATAGTAATTGATTTGTGAAATGTTTACTTGATTGCTTCCATAGTGTATATATGTTCTAACAAAATTGGTTGCTGCTTGTGTTATATTTAATGCAAAATGCAAATTACGTACAATACTCCCAATATGTCCCAATATTTTCTTCCCCTCTTATTCATTCCTAGATTCAATTTTGGTTTTTTTTTTTTAATGCTATTACCATGTGTTTCCTTCTTGTCATGCCCTTCCAAATATAATTTGATTCTACTGATTAGCTATGGATGATTGAACTAAATCCCACAAAAATAATGTTAAAATTGGAAACTACTTAATGCTGTTACATTACAGTTTACTGAACTTAAATACCTTTTTGTTTGGCTATCTAGGCTCCCATGTTCACTAGATCATTTTAGCATGTTAAAAAGTACCAGAGTAACTTTCTGAATAAGAAGCCTATTGTATTCTTGATGGAGTTTGTTTGGGTTCTATATAAATTTTCTCATTTGTGTCACAATTATTGAATTATGGGGTTGATGTACCAAGTTGCACTCCCTGCCTAAAACCTTCACATAAATCTCTTTTAGGGATGAGTTATATTTCAAAATAGTGAATTGATTTTAACTAGTCATATATATTTAATAAATTCACTTATAATATATTCACGGACAGCTTCATACTCGTGGGTGGTTAATTTTCTTGTTTTGCACTTTATATTTTGTTGATGCATTTCTGTTGAAAGGAAGAACTGTATGTCTACATGCAATAATTTTTAAGTGACTTCAAATTCTATGTAAATTTGGTTTGGGAGTAATCAATTTCTGCTGCTCAATACCCTGCAACTCTCTCTCCATATATGCATGCAATTGATACTTCTTGCATATTTCCGTTCATATGATCAATGCACTGTGCACTGTAAGTTGGCTTTGATGTGCATTTCAACTTCTCATCCTGCAAATTTCAATTTCTTAGCAGGAATTATTTGCTGTTAAGCCCTGTGAGGATTGTGAAATCTTGCTATGCATAGCAAAAGTGATATAGGTACCATGAATTTTTATCTTGAAAATGAGATGTATATTGTGAATTTAAAGTTTGTAGGATGTGGACCACACTCCCAATAAATGTGGTCCATAAAGTTACTTTTCTAGACAATTTTTTTAAGCGTGTAGTATTGTTACATTGATGTGTCATTGCAATATAAATATTTAATTTGATTATGAATTAGTTATTATAAAATGATAAAATATTATATATTATAGACTATGTTCAGTTGATAAGAATAGAGAGGTACCTTGAGAATCTTATTCTAAATTTATTTATTTTCATAATATAATTTTTTACAAGAATGAAATATTAGCAAAGTGGCCAAATCCTTGGCATTCATAGCATTGGAGTCTTTCAGAGCTCCCTTGTATCTTTCCTTTCTCCTTCTTGGCTATAGAATTAATTTTGAGTTTGTCTTTGCCTTTAGATTTATGAGTATGAGTAGATTCCAAAAGATTAGGATTCTTTTTCAAAAAAGATTTTTTAAATTGTTTAACAAAAGCAGTCGTAATCTTGGAATCTATCTCATAATCCTCATCAGAATCCTCTTCAACTCTATGAGCACTACTAAAAGCAATATCTTTTTTGTTTCTTTTTGAAATTCCTATGTGCCTCATAAGTTTGGAGATTTCCAACCAACTGATCCAGCTTGCAGTTGTCAACATCTTGAGCCTCCTCAATAGCTGTAACTTTTGGTTGGAACCGATCGGGCAAGGATCTCAAAATTTTTCCCACAACTTTGGATTCTGGTATTTTTTCACCTAAATTGAAGCTGAAATTTATAATGTCACTCAATTTCGCATAAAATTCATCAAAGGTCTCACTATCTTTCATTGAAAGGTTTTCGAAACTAGACGTGAGCCTTGGAAGTTTTGAGCGTTTAACAGAAGAAGTGCCCTCATGAATAGTTTGTAAGATATCCCAAGCCTCTTTTGCAACTTCACAATTGCAAATACGACTAAATTCTTCGGGTGTGACAGCGCAAAAGAGAGAATTGATAGCTTTACTATTCCAGCTACTATTTTGGTAATCAATTGTGTCCCACTTATCAATTGGTTTGGGGAGAGTTACTCTGTCACGATCCCATACCGCCCCTAGTAGAATGGTGCCGGGATGGCCAGTAATCCGAGATTATCGAAGGCCAACTTCCAAAATTCACATATAATCAGAGTATAAATATATGGGGCTCACAAGTGCGGAAGCGATATATACAATTCTAATTGGTCCATAAAAGCTGTGCATAAGTCAAATGGAATGACATACATCTTAACAAGGTCTTACAACTTGAGTACAATAAGATGAAATACAAAAATACATCTTGACCAAAAGGCTTCTCGAGCCATCATATACAAAATACAATGAAATAATGCAAGCTAAAAAGCATGATCTTCAAGATGCTACAAAATGTGAATCCTAAACAAGTTGCAAAGCACATCTAGGCGTCGCCGCCGTCCTGCTCATCACCTACATATATATATATAGAGAGAGAGGGTGAGCTTGGATACTCAGTGAATGGCATAAGTAATAAAGGATTTGCATGCATGATATCCGAGATCTTTAACAAACAATACATAATCTTAGCTTGTAACAAAACATGGGATGAATCAAGTTCATCTAACAAATCTTTCAAGCTTCATCAATCAAAGTCTCTCAAGGCTTTCAAGTTTCCAGGGATGACATTAACAAAGGTGCTACAAAAGCTTAGAGTCCTCTAGCACGTAAGGACTTGTGCTACAAATGCTTATAGTCCCCTAGCACGTTTATAGTCCCCTAGCACGTACGGACTTTCAAAGGTTGTGCTACAGATGCTTATAGTCCCCTAGCACGTACGGACTTTCCAAAGGTTGTATCAAAACTAAGGCTAATACTTGACACACAAAATAGGGATAGTCATTCATGCTTAACAAATACTTTTCTAAACAAGGCAAAACAAAGCTTTATCAAAACGTTATAACATAGCTTTATTAAAAATACCACTCACATAGTTCTTCAAACGTCGGTGTCACAAGAAAGGATCCAAGGCTACAAGCACATAACAAATCCCATTGAATGCACTATCAGACAAGCTTTTCATGAATGCAAATGATCTCGACATTCCTTCAAAACTAAGTCGAACCGAAACAAAACACTGTTTCTCATCTTGGGGAAATCTTGCTGGGCACCAACCAGGTCTTGGCCGAGGTCCCATGCCTCTTTGCCGTGGTGTGGCCCCGATGGCCACATTCAAGGAAATGAAGTCGGAAAATCTGGGTTTCCCTTTCTTGAAGAACATGAAGAACATGGATGCAAAGATCATAACTTATCATTACAAAATTCGAGATTTCATGCTATGAATTCAAAAACATGGACTTGGGTACCCATACTCAGATTTTATGAAAACAACCACAAAAACATGAATCTTGATGCAAGCTTTCAGAACAAACAAGGCTTTTATTCAAGAACACATGAATAACGCTTTCTCTTTCTAGAACCAAACTTTAAATCGATGCATGGCTTACAAATTGTACTCGATCATGCAATGCAGCTAGATGAACAATAAGAACAACAAGAGTAAATTAAGATTCTAACCTCAAAACACGAATCAAACGGTTTGAACTCTAAGGAGCAAGCTTGGAAATCTATTTCCTCTCTAAGAACTCCTTCCCCCTGTTCTAGAGCTTCTCTCTCCTCAAGAACAAAGACATATAACAAATGATACATTTCTCTCTCTGCCGGCTGATTTAACACTCTGCTTGGACACGTGGCAACGGCTGGTTGGCTCTACTAAAAAAGGTGACTGAGTGAAAAGACAAGACTATGACAAAGTGTGTTCAACAAGCAAGATGGCATAGGCACTCCAGCAGGTAATGATCTCGGCTAAGGACAAGGCATCGGCAAGTAAGGGAATAATGATCTCGGCTAGAAAGGACAACACTTGGCCTAGTTGTGCCACACCTCGGTCCAGGTTGCACCAATCCAGGAACAAGATCACTAGGTGTAGGGATAACATTTCGGCCTAGGTAATGACATCTCGGCCAATATGCCAGGGTGAAGGTGAAGGTGAAGGTCAGTCAAGGTGATCCCAAGATGGTCCTAGGCATAAGAGGCTCAAAGGTGACCTAGGCTTAGGATGACCTCGGCTACACACATCAAGCAACAAACAAAGCAAAGCAAACTACACTTAAGCAAAACAAGACAAGATCCGTAATGCAAGTTTAACAAGACGAAAACATATAATTGCATGTGGGCATGACCAAGATGGAGTGAGGGTTTGTTACATACTCCATCAACGGTAATTGTTGGTTCGGTCCACCCATTCATGACAGATTGCCAAACTTTTTCATCTATAGATTTCAAAAACGATCTCATCCGAGCTTTCCAAAAAGAATAATTGGATCCGTCAAGTAGGGGTGGTCAAACCATAGAATTTCCCTCACGAATTGAATCCATTATCACAAATCAAACAAGATCTTGCTCAAAAGTTTTAAGGAAAAACACACGAGCAACCTGCTCTGATACCAATTGAAAAATCTAGAAATCCCCTAGATATTGCTTTGTGATTATGTAACAATTTTAAGCAGTATATAACAATCCCAATCAAACAATCAAGACAAATCAACACAACGATTTTAACGTGGAAAAACCACAATTGGACACCTCCAACTGTGATTAAATAACCACGAGCAACAGCCACAAAACAATCCACTAAGAAGATTTAAAGGAATTATACAGGTATACTCTCAATTACCTAGCGAATCCATGCCTAATTGAACCAACCTTTATGTGCCTCTTCCAACCCCGTCTTCACCTCGGAATTGTCTTTACGATAAGCCACTCCAGAATCCACCGAAGCTTCAGGCTCGAATTCTTCATAATCCACCGAAGAACAACTCTCTCTCTCTTGTTAATAACAAACAAAACCTTTGATGTACTCTCTTTAAACCATGAGTTGAATACTCAATAAAATATCAAAGAAAACTAACAAAATATCCCCAGATATAAACCTTAAGAACCAAAAAGAAGATCTGGAGGACTTAAAATAGTTTTGGGAGAAAACCGATTATTTATAGAAAATCCAAAAGTAATCCTAGTTTTGAAAGAAATCCAATTACTTATAGAAATCCAAAAGTAATCCTAGTTTTGGAAGAAAATCAACTTCTTAAAAAAATCCTTGTCAAATGGGATTGCCAATAATAAAACCTAACACTACTCATTTGCTACAAGCTGCACTTAAAAAAGTAATAGGCCAGGACACATCACAAGCTGGTTCATTGGTGGCTTTTGATCGTCTTAGATTTGATTTCAACTTCCACCGGCCACTTTTGGAGAATGAGCTCATGGAGATTGAAGGACTAATCAATAGCTAGATTAAGGACTCTACACTTCTGCAAACTAAAGTGATGCCTCTAACTGATGCTAACAAAGCTGGGGCTATTGCAATGTTCGGAGAAAAATATGGAGAACAGGTTCAAGTTTCTATAAAATCTTTTCTTTTGTACTTCTGAGTTCGGACAGAAAATGGTGTTAAAATATACGCTCATTTCACAACACATAAATGCTGTAACTTATGGAACATACTTTCACGTAGGATTTGATTTTTCTTTCAAATACTGTGATTATTTTAGGTACGTGTTGTAGAGGTTCTAGGTGTATCCATGGAACTATGTGGTGGCACTCATGTCAGCAGTACTTCTGAAATACGTGGCTTGAAAATATTCTCAGAACAGGGGATTGCGTCTGGAATCAGACGTATAGAAGCCGTTGTTGGTGATGCTTTTATCGAATGCTAGAGATAACTACATGAAACAGCTCTGCTCCACTCTCAAAGTATGCTTTCTTCTGTAATCTTTTTGCTAAATAAAGAACACCTGATTGTTTCCAATGTTTTCATTATTAAAATTCATTCTGCAAAGGTGAAAGCTGAAGATGTACTAGTCAGGGTAGAAACACTATAAGGGTTAGAATTTCATTTCAGTACATTATTTTAGTTAGCTTGGAAATAGAAACATGAGGAAAGCATAAAAAAATGTTTGTAAACAAAAACCAAAACCAACCTTAATGGATAATTGAACATGGCTACACTAAACAAGGTTTACGAATTGCGCGCGCGCACACACACGCACACACACACATATATATATAAAAGAAGAAGAATAAACAGACAACAAGAAGGTGATGTGCACAGTCTTATGCGTAATTGTTCACGATCTAAAACTAAAGCAAATGAGAGAGGTTGAAATACTATGATTATTTGGGTCTCAGGACATTTACTGTTTTTATTGATTACAATTTTTCTTCATTATCTAACGTGTGGCATTAAAGACATTTCCTGAGTTCCAATCTTGTAGCATATAACACTTCATATGCTCATTTGTACTTGTTCTTGCTTTAGTGACTCATGCAGCCACACAGCTCTTGATTAAGGAATAGTGGTTCTGATTGAGAATGGAAATGGTGGTGTGCTAAAAATGGGAATCTTATTTTTTGGGGCTATTTTGGGATCCCATGGATTCTGTGATACAACATTTGGTCTTTGAAAATGTAGTTTTTCCTGGAAACGATATGGGTTAAATTAAATCACAAGATGCAACTCCCTATGGATAAGGTTTCATCAACCATCTCTTGTTTCTTTCCTTGGTTACTTTTCATATCTTTTTTTGCATATTTTGCAACCCAGGTTTCTTTTTCTTCTATTTATTTATTTATTTATTTATTTATTTTTACATATATACTTAATGTTTGTAGTGATTATAACATAGAATTCCAACACTAATCTAAATTTGTGTGTGCTCTATATTTGTATTTAGGTCGTCTGCTCATTGTGTCACACGGAACAAGAAGTAAGTCTCCTCGTTGAAAAGTTTACATAATGATAAAAGTAAAAGCACTAGAATTATTATTTTTTTCTAGTAACAAGGTAGAAAGTGAGCAATGCTTTTCCCATATGGGCTACATTTATCAAAAGGCCAAGAAAATTGTGGGAGTAAAGTAAAATTCATGCAATGGGTTTTAAGCTTTCTACCTTCTCGTTTCAAGTTCAACAAAAATGCATCCAATGTGGGGTTTGCATGGGGAAGTATTATTTCTCAAAATCCAATTTTTTTAACGATGATGTAAGCCTCTTTGTTAGAATTTGTTCAAAAAAAAAAAATTCAAGCCTAGTTATTATATACTTGCGTAAACAATACGATTTCTATCTCTAGGTTTCGAAGAATCAATGCCATTGTAATAAATGTGGAATCTGCAGGTTAAAATCTTTATCATGTTATTCATTTTCTTTTCATTTCTGTTACAGTTCATATTTTTTCTGCACCCCCTTTTTTCTTCTGGTTTCTTTCTTTTCTAACTTCCCTTATAATGCATTTTAGTTAGTTTTTATTTTCCTTCATAATGAATTCAATTTATATATATATATATATATTTTTTTTTAATTTGGCTACACCATCTTAAAGTACTTTAAATAGTTACTTTCTTAATGAATTCCATTTTATCTAATTAATTTTTGTTATGTTTTCAAATCTCAGAACTGGAGGCAAAGAGAACTTTTTCCATTGTAATAAATGTGGTAAGCACCTATATGAATAGCATTTGAGTACCCTTTTCTTTTCTGTTGTTCATGGTTGTTTTATTATTCTTTCTGTTGGGAAAAATAACAAAAAAACTACAAAAAAGTTGTTCATGAAGTGATGGCTTCGGGAAATTTGTTCTTTCTACTTCAGGTTGTTACTATTCAAGGTTGATGAAGGATTCACATATCTACATAGAAAAAGCAATGCACCATAATTGCCCTTTTTGTTTTGAGGTAAACTTGAAAACAACTTAAAAGGTAAGAATAGATCTGCAAACTGTTTGTTCACGCTAAGTTGATCCATTTCTTTATGCAGTATCTTTTTGAGACAACAAAAGACATCACAGTCTTGCCTTATGGGCACACTATACACTTGCAATGCGTGAAGGAGATGGAACAACATTTACAGTAAGTAAATGAGAAAATAGAGCAACTATATTATTTTCCTTATTTAAATAAACTCATATTTCTCGGCAAATACCTTTCATATTAACTAAAGTTTGCAGGTATTCATGCCCCGTTTGTTCAAAATCATATTGCGACATGTCTCAAGTGTGGCAAAGGCTTGATCACGAGGTATACCAATGATATCATGCTATACTTACCTTAATTGTATTTATTTGCAACATGGGTTTGTATCCTGACTGACCTGTTCAACAAAAAAAATTCAGGTTGCTTCGACACCCATGCCTCAATTGTACAAAAATAAGATGGTAAAGATGTCATATTATAGCTAATCTGCAACTCTACGTATCTCTGACTTTGTCATTCCATGTATTAACAATTTGGTGTTGCGATTGATTAGGTTTGGATCCTCTGCAATGACTGTGGAGAGACATCTGAGGTAAATTTTCACATTGTGGCACATTCAAGACATGAGGGAAGGGCAGGCATGTTGTTCATTGATTATTATTTATTGATTCAATTGTAGTTTTCATTTGTTTGCAAGTATTCAGAGGCCAGTTTCATTTGAGACATGAAGGAAGGGCAAGCATGTTGTTCTTTGATTATTTACTGATTCTTAGTTTCACTTGCTGATCTATCTATTTTGCCTCTTGATTTCAATCTAATATCAAAAAAGTTATTAAAAATTGGACTAAATTGATACAATGTCAAAATTTCAAAAATTAAATTGATACAATTAGAACTATATGCATCAAATTGACATAAAATACAAACCAGGGGTAAGTGATTTGACTTTTATTGTTTCTATGAAATGAGACTACTAGGTTTGGTTGGGGATGTATTATTGGCAACAGCTGTAGAATGTTTTTATATTACATATTTCATGTTCTGTTATCATTCTACAAGAAATCTATGAGTCTTGTGCTACTTATGACCTGTCAAAACAAGATGAGATGGGAAGTTCTAATTCATATAAAATTTATTAATTTTTTATTATTAATTCATTAGCATTTTAGATGGAAAAAATATGTTATCATGTCTCTTATTAGAAGAGAGGTGGGACTTAGTGGTTCTGTTTTGTGCATCATTGTTGATCTGTTTTGTTATGCTCTTGGATTACAAAATGGAGTGAGGCAGTGCTGAGAGAGTCTGGTTTTGATGTTCTGCTGCACTACTGGTCCGGTATTGTATTAGGATTGGGAGTTCATTTTGTAGCAGTTTTCTGTGCTGAGTTGGATAAAGATGCACTTCTTAATCATATATTTTTTTCCTTGGTTCATGAAAAGAAGAAAAAGAAAGTGTCCTGTCTACCTATTTGTTCCATTACATGCTTCAAGTTTGCTAATTCTATCTAGTTGCACTGACAGTTAAGCTTTTTATGGATGAAAAGGTGAAGAGGTCAAAGGGGTATGCTTTTATTCAGTACACTAGTCAAGACGATGCCCTGCTAGCTCTAGAAAGCATGGATCATACGGTAATAGGCGTATATTTGGTTGATATACTTCCACAAGAATGCTTACTTTATCATCACATAATAAAATACTAATTTATGGTCTTGTTTCTGTTGACTAACACCTTGTTTTCAAATAAAATTTGCTTATTGATGGTTAGGGACGGCTTAAAAATGGGAATATTGCTGCTATAAAGGTTCTTTCACCTGAATTAAGTCAAGGAGTAAAGGAGTTCTTGACAAAGATTAGAGTGATATCAGATATAGAGCACCAAAATTTAGTCAAGCTCTATGGCTGTTGCATGGATGAAGATCATAGAATTCTGTTCTACAACTACCTTGAGAATAACAGCCTTGCGCAAACACTTATTGGTAATTCTATCTATCCGTTCTTAGTTTGGTAGTCTTTGCACTTATTGGATTGGTAATTTAGTCCCCTGTTACAAGCCTTTTTTTTCTTTATCAACAAAAATAGTTTATTGATGTAAATTAATTGAGTACTACTTAGTATGTCAAACATACATCAATAAAAATAAAAAATAAAGAAGGCGTAGGAGAAATGCATGAATGTTTAAGAACACGTGTCAAGTAGGTTAGCACATGATCACAACTAATCAAATGTAAGACCTAGGCTCAAAAAAAAAAAAATAGTAATTGGTAAGGCACTAACTACCAGAACTAGTAGGTTCCCTGTGGGGGTTGTCAAACACATACAATAAATTGTTGTGTGCAATACTTTTCAGAAGAAAAAAAAAAAAAAGTGTGCAAGCCAGGATTCGATATTAGGGGTTTATAATGTGAAATAGTTAAGAGGAATGCAATAGTAGTGGAAACAAGATTTTGAACTTTGGGTAGCAACTGGGAAATAATATTAAAAAAAAAACATTAGGTACCACATGAGTGCTGCTAGGCCCGGAGTGGTTGTCCTTGTGAAATCTTAAAATCATGGATGGAGGCATGCTCTTGAATTTTAATGGATTTTAATCAAATCCCTGTTGGGTTACTTTAACGTCAGCCCTAGAGTTTTTCAGTTACATTGTAAATGTGATATATCTTAGTACATATCGATGCAGTGGGTTGCTATCGGTTGCCAATTCATAATGCATTTGTGATATAGGTTAGGTATGTGCACTTTTTGAAATTGGGAAATTATGCTTACATGAACAATCAACTAATTTTATTGTCTACTTTCTGGGAATAGTTTTAATATGGACACATATATGAGTTTGTTTGTTTAAAGATTTAGATTTTTTGGGATATCCTTTTTTGTTTTCCTTTGCTAAGTGCTTTTAGAGGGTGTTATACAGGTTTTTTGCAGGTTTGGGATCAAACAACACAGGAATATGAGAGAGGGCAAAAAAGCTAATTGGGCTTTGTTTTAAAGTTGTCATTGATCAATAGAGGCTGCTACCAGATCCTCTTTTTTGCTGGTGACTGATGTTGCTGCTTGCTGGTCTGCTGTTGCCACTGCCCTGGTGGCTGATGCTTGCTGGGCCGCTGCTGCTGCAATGTTGCTGTGACGCGGCTGCTGCTGGATACTGGTCTGCTGCATAAGTTTGTGGGTGATTTGTCGTGCCGTTTTGCCTATCTTTGTTAGTTTCATGTTTTCATTTTGTTATCTGATGTTTCTACTGTGGGTTCACAATTTTGATGTATTTGGGTAATTTAGTGAGTTTACTCTTTTAAGTTTTCTACACTACTTCTAAAAGCAGTCTCAGTAGTGTTTTTTTGCTTGCACATCAACTTTAGATGATTTCCTATCAATGTTATTAGTTTGTAATAGTGGTGCCTGAGGGATGCCTCTTGTAAATCTGTAAATCTTATAAAAATATAAATTATTTTCAATTATTTTTTTCGGTAAATGTGTTGTCAAAAATTTATTTTTGTCCACTCATATTGTGTTGCTAGAAGTGTATTTTTTGCCAATGTCAATTTGTCGTTGCCAAAAGTAAAGCTTTATCGACAAACAAATCGTCGGCAAATGGAAATATTTACCGATGTAAATGTGTTGCCAAAAGTTTACTTTTGCCCACTCATATTGTGTTGCTAAAAGTGTATTTTTTGCCAATGCTAATTTGTAGTTGCCAAAAGTGAAGTTTTATCGACAAACAAATCGTAGGCAAATGACAACATTTACCGACGTAAATGTGTCGCCAAAAGTTTACTTCTGCCGACGCATATTTTGTTGCTAAAAGTATAGTTTTTGCCCATGCAAATTTGTGTCGCGAAAAGTGCCACCCAATCATCATATTTGAATGACTTTTACCGACGCAAGGTAAATTGCCGACGATGGATGAAGGCTTTTATCGACGACTATGTTTGTCGCTAAAGGCATTACTTTTACCAACGCAATGATAATTTCATCGGCAAAAACTTTTGCCGACTCATTTTTGCCTACTAGTTGCCAACGTAGCTTTGTGTGTCAGCAAAACTCTTTGCCGACGAATTTTCCCTTTTAGCAACATATTTTGTTGCGTTGCGAAAAATGCAATTTCTTGTAGTGATAGTTGTGGGAAGATTTGGAGCTTGATGTACGAACATTTGTTTTGGAAAACATTTTGTAAAAACTTTGCTTTGAAGCTTTTTTTTTTTGGTAATTATTATTTCAAAGTATACATTTTGAATTTATTTGTATTAGAACTTGAGGATTCGTATGATAGCTATAGTGGAGGTTGAGATAATGTCTCTGACCTCATTTGGTTGCTTCTATGAAAGTCAATAGTGGCCTTGAACTTTGCCCAAATGAGTTCCAGTGCGATGCTGGTGCAAATTGTTGACAAAAATGAAGCCAAAATCATTTTTAGTGCTATTCAGTTTTATTACAGGTATTTTTTTAGTTCAATCACATAAAATTAGCATAATTTCAAAAAAAAAAGATATCATGGCGTTTTTTAAAACGCCACATAAACCTTAAATCTAACAGTCAGATTTTTTAAATAAAAGATATGACGGCGTTTCAAAAACGTCGCTAAATATCATAATGACGTCATAATACCAGTAGGGTAGGACATTTGGCGGCATTTTTAAAAACGCCACCTATACTAATATGCCGACATTTTTCAAACGCCATAAAGCTATAGCGACGGCCGCGTTGTCGACATTTGGTACTAAACGTCACAAAAAGAATTAGCGACGTTTTTAGTACCTATAGCGGCGCCGCTAAAAGTGGATTTTCCAACAGTACGGGAAACTTGTCTGGTCAACCCCGCTCGATAGCCATCCTGCTGCTGTTGTTACCATGTTCGGAACATTTCACAATAGGTTAGTCATATATATAAAATAGATAGCAAATTTGATTTTGAAAATATATTTATATTTTTTTGAATGTTCACTCAATTAAATTTTATATGAATAATTTGTTTGAAGAAATGAACTGTTTGAATTTCCAATGTAAACAGTACCTTGTTGTTTATTTTCTTGGATTGGAAATAATCCTTGCTAAATTAATTAGGGGCTTTTATCCATCAAAATGCCTTCTAATATGCAAAAATTTCATTATGGTGAGTTAATTTATATAATTTATTTTTTGAAAGATTCGAATTTTCCTTGAAGCCCAAACTGATGCATTTTATCCATCCGTTAGTTTAATATACACGATGTATTTTTCCCCATCTCCCTTCCTTTTTCATATGTCATGAATGGAATCAGTTTGAGCAGTGGATAATTGCAGAATTGGGTCTTGATAGAGTGATGATACATGTCCTCTGCAAAGGTGGAAATTTGAAACAGAAATTTTCTTGCATTACTAAAGATGGATTCCCCAACATTTGCAATCAGGATCCTTTGTGTTTAGTCTATGTGAAAGAGATGTTAAGAAATTCCAGAGATAATGCACTTCCTGAATCGACACAAGTTTAGATACACAATATGAATATCTGAACTTCAAAATCTACAGGGGAACATTCTTTTCATTGTGGTACGAGTTTGCTACGGGGAAAAGATAAGAAATTTTATGCTATGTTTAGATTTTTTATTTGAGTATGGATTTGTGGAAGACCAAAAAAAAGGAAGAAAAAAAAAGGGGAGACTTATTTATAAGTCCTATTTCGGACACTTATGCTATGTTAGGTCCTGTGAAATTTCTTATAGAGTCTCAAGTCCTATTTAGATAAGAATGTATTCCACAAGATCCTATTTGCGAAACGTAACGTGACACGTTACGTTATGTTTACGTAGGTGTCACGTTACATTTATGTAGGTGTCATGTTACGTTACGTTTATGTAGGTGTCACGTCATGTTACGTTTATGTAATGTCCCATATGATATGGTCACGTTACGTTACATTTATGTAGGTGTCACGTTACGTTTTGCAAACTTAATCTATGGTAACATTCAATTTCCTATGGTAACATTCAATTTCCTATATAGGAAATTGAATGTTACCATAGATCATATCTATGTGAATGTGAATTTCAAAATACACGAACAAGTAACATTTTCACATTCAATTTAAAAAATCAAAAACCTAGTAAGTTTGCGAAACGGAACATGACACGTTACGTTACGTTTATGCAGGTGTCACGTTATGGTGTCATGTTACGTTCATGCAATGTCCCATCTGATATGGTCACGTTACGTTACGCTTATGTAGGTGTCACGTTACGTTTCGCAAACTTAATCTATGGTAACATTCAATTTCCTATATATGATTTTACCATTATTTATGATATTAACAAATAATATTGAGGGTAAATGTTGTTGGACAATCTTCACTGTATTTAAAAAGATTAAATTCTGTTGTGTACAAAACAACAACAAGAATAAAAGAAATAGAGAAAAGGAGAGAATTTGTTTGATTACAAAAATCAAACTCGAAATAAAAATAAATAAATAAAACTACAGATTTTATTTTGTTACAAAAACAAAATTAAAATCTGATTAAATAAACAAATAAAAACAGAATAAAATTAAACAACTTACTTGGATAATTTATTTGAATAACTTTTCTGATCAAGTCCAGTGTTTAACAAT